ACCCTGTGCGATTTTTCCATCGATCTTCGGTCAGATTTTTCTCGCTCATCGACCTTCTTATTCCATCCATGTTTTCTTGGGACTCTTTTCGTTTACCAGGTGGTATCCAATGAATGACTTGTTTTGGAATTCTTTCATTGTGCATTCTCTGAACGTGGCCGTAAATATTCATACAATTGTTTTGTTCTATATCATTTACTATTGTTCCATCTATTCCCATCTGTTGTCTAATGTCTTCATTTCTGATCTTATCCCTCCTTGAAATTCTCATTGTTCTTCTAATCGCGTCCATTTCTGCTTGTCTCTAATTTCTCTTTATTCTCTGGCAGTGAGTCGCCAATGCTCTCACATCCATAGAGTAATATGCTTTTAACTAGTGTCTCTGTATATATTATATTTCGTTTTTGTAATTTCAGTGCTCCATAGAATGCCATTTATGCATCTGATAACTCTTCGTGCCTGTTGTATTACTCTGTTGTTTATTTCTCTATTGTCCGTTCCATCTCCTCTAAATATCGATCCCAGGTACCTGTAATCTTCACATGCCCTAATTTCCACATTATTGGTTCAAAATAAGATTTTCTGTACTAGCTCCACTGGAAGGTATTTTGTTTTTTCTGCATTTACTGTGAGACCCCATTTAGCATATTCTTCAATTATTTTCCGCACCATATATTCGATGTCATCTTTGTCGTTTGTAATTATGGCCTGGTCGTCTGCAAATTGTAAGGTGTATAGGCATATGTCATTTTAGTTCTATACCCATTCCGTAACATTTTCTTTTCCATAGATGTAAGGCCTTAGCAATATAAATTTTAAATAGTGTTGGGGATATACAGCAACCCTGTTAGAGCCCTTTAGTGATAGAAATTTCCTCTGAGAGACTGTTGATCGTTTTATTTGTGATTTTCCTCCATGGTAAAGATTCTGAACAGCTTTTATCAGAGCTGCGTTAATTTTGGATTCGTGCAATACTTCCCATAATTTTATTATTGGTACTGTATCATATGCTTTTTATAGATCGATGAATGTTATATGAACTGCCTGGTTCATTGCAGATTTCTTCTCGATGATCTGTTTCAATGCAAAGATATTATCTGTACATGATCTTCCGCTTGTGAAACTATTCTGCTCTTCTTCTTCGTAGCTGGAGTATTCCTCTTCAATTAAGTTCAGTATCCTTCCATAGAGGCGACTCATAGTGCTGGTGACCGAAATTCACCTGTAGTTATTGGGATCCTTCCTTGAGCCCTTTTTATAGAGGAGATATATGCTTTTTTTCCACTGTTCAGGTACTAGATGACCATTTAAGCACTGGTTAACATTCTAAACAGTTTTTGTTTCCAGATTTTATGAGTTCCGCATATACTCCCTCTGGGCCACATGCTCTTCCATTCTTTAAAGACATTATAGCGGTCTCTATTTTGTTGGTATCCACGTAGATTTCCTCTCCTTCAATGTTTATTTCTGGCTGTGACGGTTCTTGATACTCAGGTCTATTCTCTGACAACAATTTGGAATAATATTTCACCCATTCTTTGTTGGTTATTATTTCTATAGGGGCTGACTCATGTTTTTCAGTTGTTGTTGTTTTATAAATCTCCATACTTACCGTATTCCTTCTTCCGCCTATATACGTATTAATTTCTTTGCATTTGTCATCCCACACTTTATTCCTTTCTTCTTTTACCATTCTCCTCAACTCATTTTTCTTGTCATTATATGCGCTTCTGTCTAGTTCAGATTCTCGGAATTTCAGCCATTTCAAATACAGCATTTTTCCTCTACAAGTTTTTCAAGTTCATCAGTCCACCACAACTTTCTGCTCTTTCGTCTCGCTTTTATTCCTAATGCTTCCTCTACGGCTCCATGAATACTGTCAATTCTATTATTGTATGTTAGGTGAAAATGCCTTTCAGAATCTTCTATAAGTTTTTCATCAAGCCTGTTCTGGTAAAGATATTTGACGCTGTCATGCATTAGACTTTCTAAATTATATCTTACTGTGGTAACTGGCTTCGCTCTTCCTGTTTCCTCTTGATTGTTTTGTTTTAATTTGATATGGTGGAAAGAGAATTTTGATCTTAAAGGTGAATTAATTCTTGATGATGTCCGGTGCCCCTTAGGATTCTTATATCATTAATTTTATGTTGTTACTTTGTTTTTGTAATTATATAATCTAAATTTTAATCTAACAAATTTAATCTAACCTTAATAAAATAAAAACAAAAAAAAAAAAAAAAAAAAATAGAAAATATCAAATAACACTCAACGTACATCCGATAAACGGAGGCAATGAAAATGCAATAAATTTAAAACTGCATTATTTTCTAACCAATCAAAAGTCTTTAAATTTTACCAATAAAATTAATATCGAGCAATACGTAACTGAACGAAGTACAACAA